TTATGTGTGTATGTTGTGCGTGACTGTGCAAAGGTCTGTATCACTGCAGCCTTCTGTTTCGCTTTTTTTTTGTTTTGTTTTGGACCCGGCTGGACCCCCTAGATCAGGGGTGGGCAACTGGCGGCCCCCATCAACCCTCAACGTGGCCCTCAGGTCTATTTTTACACATCAATTAATTGGAAACATGAAGAAAAACATGACACAATCTGCCATGAAATCATGAAAACCAGGAATTTGTCCATGATAATATTTGATCACTGGTACATGTTGAATTAAATTTGACACATAATTGACTGTAATCGTTTTTATATCCTACAATTTGGCCCCTCTGGCAGTGAGAATTAAATGAATGTGGCCCTTGCTGTGACCAAAGTTGCCCATCCCTGCTTTAGATCACAATGTTTTCTAGACCTACCACTGACGTCACTTATTCATGCGTTTATCTAAAGGCTTCCTGCTGACATGAACCATGACATGAAGTAGAAAGTAGTTTGCTTTTACTTCTATACACGTTAAAGTTAGACATGGTAACATCTCAGTACATTTAACCTGGGAAGTAAATGTTCTATACAATCAACATTACAGTTTGTTAAATGTGTGTTTGGTAACTTTAGTTGTTTAAAGCAATGGGGGGGCCTTGTGTTAAAAAAAAAAGTATAGGTACAGACTACTTCTTGGCTCCAATTTATTCCGCTACATTTCCAGTTGAGTGAACATACGACACCAATGCATTTCAGCAATTAGCCGTCACCCATACCACAGCGTGCTATGTTAGCTCTCCATGTGCTGCTGCTTCACTTATGCTAAATAACAAACCGTGTGGAGTTTCGCGTCAAGTACATAACTACACAGTGAAGACTGGCAAATTAAAACAGTCTGCAAAACCGACAAGACAAATGACTACTGATAACACAAACTTACAGGCATTTTTTTCACCGTGTTAGGCTCCTTTTCCTGCGCATGCGTGTTCTTGCTGAACAAAAACTGTGCAGGAGGGACTGTGACCAACATCATCACACTAGTGATAAGATTTTCGTAAATAAAAATGAAATACTATTTGTGAAACTTGTTAAAAGCCTAGTGTGGCGTTAAGGAAGTAGAGATTGTCTTGGTGAGTATTGTGTCCGAATAAAATATATTTACACTCAATTTATTAACGGAAAGGTACATTGTTAACATTTTTTTTTTAATTATTATTTCATTTTGCCATCTGCTCATTAAACCGTCTTTATAAATGAAATATACTACCAACTGTAACCCACTTTTGTCGCTGTTGCAAAATCAAAAATCTCTTGTAGAATTGTTATCAGCGTTTTATGTATTTATTTATTTATTTATTTTAAAGTAAAGACTGCATCACAGCTCTCATTTTAAGGGTTTTCAAGCATTAGGCAAATAATCAAATGATTACTTAAAAGGACAGAACATTTTTGTATAGTTTACAATGATGAAAAATAAGAAGGGGAATGCCAGGTTGTGTTCATTTCGGTCTTTAGAATGTGGAAATGAATAGTTTTGAAGAGGCACATCACTTCCCTTTAGGCAGATCCTTATAAGCAGCTCTTCTGTCACTCACTGTCATTTTCCTCATTAAAGTGATGTGAAAAAGAGATTTGGTTGCCTATGGAACTGCATAGCCCATAATGCAATGTAAATAGTGACGTCACACATCGAGGCACCGGTCTGCTGCCAGTCTGCCACAGACAGCTGAGGGTTTTCGGACTGACTGGAGACCCCGGCCCACCACGGCCTTTTATTACCGAGACGTCGGAGTCCACATTGTGTTTCAATGGCGAAAACGTACGATTACCTCTTCAAGCTGTTGCTCATCGGAGACAGTGGAGTCGGCAAGACATGTCTGCTGTTCAGATTCAGCGAGGACTCCTTCAACACCACCTTCATATCCACAATAGGTGAGTTCCCTGTAGCCGCCCCTCACGATCAATCTGACATTATGCACAAAACAGAATAAAATGCCTGACTGCGTTTCAATAGTATTTATTCTATGGTTATAGTAATGGAGTAATTTATTTGTATAATATTGTTCAGCCCTACAATTTTTAAAGGACCTGCAGTAGCATAAGAGCAAGACAATGGACCATAGAGAAAAATTATAATGATCCCCTGTCCTTGATGGCTCATTGGCATCAGTAAGGTTAGAAATACAATATGATCATAACTATAGATTTAAAAAAAAAAAAAAATCTTATTGAAAATTTTAAACATTTTTTTTCTGTTTTTGGTTTTTACAATATTGTGTACTATCTCCCACACTTATCTACATTGTTCTACGTAGCTGGATGTGCAGTGACATTAAGTGATGTTCTCTGTTCAACTTGACATAACATTAACTGCCTGGGAACAAGTCCTCTGCATCTGTGGCATCTTAGGCATGTAAAACATGTCTTCATATAATCATATAACCAATCATTAGAGTAAGCACCAACCTATAGATGAATGTACGTGTGTTTGTCCAACTGCAGGAATTGACTTCAAAATCAGAACAATAGAGCTGGATGGAAAGAGAGTCAAACTGCAAATTTGGTAAGTGTAATTTAGGTTTGGCTTCAGAGCCTGGCACAGTTATACATGTTTAAAGATACGAGAAAGAGAAAAGAGAAAGAGAAACTAATGCACTAATGTTGATTTGATGTGTGCAGGGACACTGCAGGTCAGGAGAGGTTTCGCACCATCACTACAGCTTACTACAGAGGAGCAATGGTGAGTCCGCTCTGCATCCTACACTTCCACCCTGTGGGTTTATTTTATATGTTACAATTTGATATTATATGCAAATATTATCTTGTTTTTCTTCTAAGGGCATTATGTTGGTGTATGACATCTGTAATGAGAAGTCATTTGAAAACATAAAAAACTGGATTAGAAATATCGAAGAGGTAAGTGCTGAATTGAAACATTTTGTCTCAAAATTGTTTTTTTTACTTGCTGCTGTATGACACTGTCATACCTATAGAGTAACATACTTGACTTGATAGGTTTTTTATCTTCTTCCAGCATGCCTCGTCTGATGTGGAGAAAATGATCCTAGGTAACAAATGTGACATGACTGACAGGAGACAGGTGTCCAAAGACAGAGGTGAAAAAGTGAGTGTCTGCAGCCAGTCTTTACTGAAGACAGTCTCAGATCAATTGAAAATGCTTTTTACCTTTCTTATTTTGCACTAAGTGACACTGCCATCTACCCCCCCCCCCCCCCCTTTAGCTGGCTATTGATTATGGAGTGAAGTTCTTAGAGACCAGTGCAAAGTCTAGCTTAAATGTGGAAGAGGTAAGTGTGTTTTTTTTTAACTCTCAATGTACCATGTAACATAAGTGATGCATATGTAAAATAACTTTTGTTTTGTGTCATTATTCTAGGCTTTTTATACAGTGGGACGAGACATATTACATAACCTGAGCTCAAAGACAGTAAGTGATACAGACATTCCTAAAATAGATGCCAAACGAGAGGGACATTTTAAGTATGAGCTCTCAATTGATACAAATCTAATGAATTAAGTGACATTCATGTACACATTGTACTGTAATAACTAAAGTATTTCTAACATTTGGGGTACCGATAACCAGCTTACATAATAATTGTTATTTGCTAGGTATAAATTCCATAAATTATTCATAGATTTTCTGTTTTATTTGTAGTTTTATTCTTGAAAGCAAAAAAGTGTTTGTTTTTTTAAGAGAAAATGAAACGCCTGATAACCAGTCAACCATTTGCATTTTTTAGGAACCTCTATCTTAATATGTCCCGAAACCCCTGGTAAAACTAAATCTATGTTTTGGTAGATTGTATATGAAATGTGAAGCCTTGCACGTTTAAAATACTTACATTCATTTTTCCACTATCATATTTGTCTTTGCTAGACTGACAACAGTGCTGGGGGATCAGGCAAAGCAGTGAAGATCACAGAGAAAAAGTCGAAGAGGATAAAATTCTTCAAGTGTTCGCTCCTCTAGATCTCTAGTTTTCATGATTCAAGCGGGACTTTGCTGTTTTTTGGAGGGCTCTTGCCTTCTGGGCGTCTTCACAGCAGTGGCAGCAGTGGTCATGTTCAGAGGGCCTTTCTGCCAGCTGAAGCTCATGAGGTTCATGAGTGTTTGAGATGCCACCCTGTCCCGTTGACCAGAGGAGGATCAATGAGGACTAAGGCCTAATACTGTGTATACATTCATGCAAAGACTTGTGGCGTAACCACTAGCATTGGTTTGTAGCTGGTCCTGCAGTGTCTGCTTACAAGAGCAGAGTGATTCTGGGGGCACTCATTATACCTCTGCTGGAGCTTTGTCACACAAAATTGTCTTATAAATTATCAGAAAATGAAAAAATTTACATTTCATATATTGTAGCATTAAACTACCTGTTGTCATACTGACTACCACGGTGCTGTCAGACATATCTAGTCTCAGTATTGATTGTATTTGTGTAAATCAATGTATATTGATGAGACATAATCTCCTGTTGCACAGGCATCATATCTCTGTTCATGTGTGCCTAGAAGGACTCGGAAATTACGATAGAAAAGACAAAAATACATACGAGTATATCTAACTTTATTATTTATTCAAACCTTCATTTATACAGGTTCTTGTGTCAAAATGGAACTGTGAAAAGTTGCGTACTTACTCCATATTGTTATGTGATTGTTAGTATTTGCATGAAAGCTGTAGGGATACCTCAGAGAGGAATAATATAAAGCACATTTTGTAGTGATTGGAAAAACAAGTTTACGGACAGTATTTGAAAGTGTCAAGCGTATATGAGAATGTCATGTTTTTGCTGTTCACATATTGTATAGTCTGTCAGCACAACCTACTGTTGTGTATAAACTTGTTTTCTTCAACTGTATACATCCAGCAGGTTTCCTTTACAAATCCAACATAAAAATACAATGACAAGGGAAATCTATAATGTGAATGATTGTAAGCTATTGTATGGTTACTTAATGACAAGTAAAGAAAGTGGGTCTTTCAAAGAGCGTTGTTCTGTTTTTCTTGTTCTGCTTTTCATTAACGTCAGTCTTTTTTTTTTTTTGTCATTATTGCATCAAACAGGAATTCCGGCTTATGGTACAATGCTGTGAATTTCCCAGATCTCTGCTTTTGGTTCCTCATCTTTTAGTTCATCTTCCTCATTTATTGTTTTATTTCCCTCTATTTCTGCTCTCATCAATCCCCTCTCTCGGTGGCATTTATTTCCTCTCCTGTGCATCATCTTCTCTATTCTCTGCCTCCTTTTTCTTCCCATCCTCCCCTGCCCCTTCGCAGGCATCAGTAAGGTCTTGCTCACTGCGAGAGGCTCTTACCCCCTTACTAACTGTCAAGTACTTTGCTTTCCTCTCGCTCTCGTTCATGCTTTGTGACCTGTGAGATAGCTTATACTTCTCATCGGCTACAGTCAGATACTGAGTTGTGTCAGAAAGGTTTCTTTTGGCCTTCACCTTTGCTGGCTCCTCCACCAGTTCTGTATCTTTACTTTCTAAAGGAATTTGATCAGCCTGAATCAAGTCCCTTTCCAGCTCTGCAGGCACAGTGCTAGCTTGAAACTGCTGGGCAAGAGTTCTGACTGTTGACACCTTAGGCATGTGACCAAAGGTGCTGGGATGGACCTGGTACTCCAAGTTTGTTGGCCACTGATTTGGTGCTCTGGAGGCCTGCTCCACTAATGACCTGTAGTCTGCAGTTTGCAGCACATCATCACCTGCTTCTGCTGGGTCGTAGATTATGCTGCTCATAGCTCTCTTCTTTGTGATAGGTGACGTTTGGCTTTCAGTTGGGATGTATCTCAATGACTTAGTCCTCTTTGGGGAGGAAGGGGTTTTCTCTGGCAGTAGGATCTGCTCTGAGGGTTCAACTGCTTCCTCTGGCTCATCAGGTGGGCTGATGATGATGGTGCTCATAGACCTCCTCTTCGTCAAAGGAGAGGTGGGTTGATCTTCTGCTGGATAGTATTTAAGGGATTTAGTCCTTTTTGGAGGAGAAGAAGGCCATAGTCTGTTCTTATCTGTTAGTCTGTCTAGCAGTATTGTGCTGCCTTGTTTCACGGTCTCTTGACTTGATGAGGCAGAAACAGGCTTTTGTTCACATGGGGATATGAGGATGTCCACGCATGAGCTTGGTCGTGATCTCTCCAAACCACCAACCTCTAAGGTCTGACCACCTTCCTTGGAATTCAGAGCGCAAACGCTGGAGGCTTGCCGCAGACTTTTCTCTCTTTCTAGAACAGCTTTATTCGCATCATCTGCTTCCTTCTGCTTGGACGCCATCTCCTCGATGTCCATGTGAAAGCGATAGAGACTGTAACCATCCGCACTGTTAATGCTGCCCTGGCGTAGAAGGGAGGAAGGGTCACATACGGAAGAGTTTCTTGAATAGGTTCTGGTCAGCTCCAATCTGTCTACCCCCGCAAGCTTTTCCAGGGCCACTGCCATTCGTCCATGGATCTCCTCCAGCTGGGCCAAGCGCAGATCCACTGTCTGCAGGGAGGCCTTCATCGTGTTCTCCCTCTCGTTTACCTCCTCCAGACGCATGGACATGTTCTCAACTCTGTCAGGGACATCAGAGAAACAAAAGTCTAAGTATAATCTTTAGACAAAATACTTTGAATTCTCTAAATGAAACTTGAAAATATAGTTCACCTTTCTGATGTAACCTTGATGCGTTCATCACTGGAAGACTGCTGCTCATCCTCTTTCTCTCGGAAATATTCCTCGACACATTGTTCCTCAAACTCATACAGACTTTTTAGCTCTTCAGGATTCAACCTAAGCTCTGGTAAAAAAAAAACAAATAACGAAACAATGGCAGTCAGTATGTTTCATTCAGGATCCCTAGTATTTTTTGAAGTTACATCTGTTGGCTACAATAAAACAAACGAACAAAAAAAACTCTTTAAATTGCAAGGGGACTTACTAAGTCCTCGGTCCTTCTCATCCAGCTCTCCTTCTTGTTTCTTCTTGGCACACCGCCGAAACAGCCTGTTGAAGAGGATGTAGAGGTGGCTGAAGATGATGAGAGGTGGAGGCAGTATTGGGCGGTCATGGAATGTCATGATCAGCTGATATCTCTGGAACTTCCACACCTGATTGGAAATGGACTTGACTTCAAAGAAGGTGTTGCTGAGGGACAAAAAAAAACAAGCGACAGATTGTAAGAGTAGATATTTCCTGTAAAATAAAAGAGCTGTAGGTGATTGGAGCGGACACTTACTTGAACACTGCAATAAGCAAGTTGACCAGAAGAATATTTGCCACCAGAAGGTAACAGGCCATAATAGCAGGTGTGAGCCAGGCCCCAGGGATACATGGAGGCAGTTTCTTCCCATCCTCGTCATATAGATGTTCACCACATGGAGCTGTGAGGAAATGCAGATATAGACTCTTATTTCAAGATCTTTAGCTTAATGATTTAAATTGCATTCTTGACTTGAAGACTACTCACGGTTTATTTCCATTGCATAGACTGATAAATACAAGAAAAGCACAGACACGCAGAAACAGAAAACGGAAAATAGAGAAAGTGTTAATAAATCAATAAACAACGTTTTCCTCATATTATACTTCTGTCAAGGTCAAGCTGAAGTCCATTCAAATGAGGACTGCTGTCGATAAGATTTCTCTCCAGTAATCAAACAACATAAAAAAAAAATTGCTGGACTGAAAAACTTTGACTTTTTTCTCTTTTTCTTTTCTTGGCAAGTCAGATTAAGTAATATTGGTTCATCAAAATCAAGAATGGCTAGCATTCATTTTGCAGACATGAGCCATCAGCTTCCAATATCAATATACAGAACATTAAAACAATCATATGCATTAGCAACTTCCTCAGGTGCCGTCTTAATATTTCATTGCCTTGCCAATTCAGGCTTTTTCATTAGCTGCGTGTTGCCTTCACCCTGACAGAAGAAACACTGACAGAAAATTATACTTGAAGGCAGATGATCACGATTGAGGAGATTTAAAACTACTTTTTACTTCCTCAATGCAAAACTTCTGCCATGTATTGAAAGTCAATTACCAGCAGAGGGAGACAGAGTATTAAGAGGTTACACTGTAACACATTATTGCTTAACATCACAGAATACAAGACACAGAAATTAACGTAACACTGATCATCTGCCCAGAATCAGGAAACAGAATCTTACTATGAATTCTAGTCTTACGGTCTATCGAGTCCGCAAAAACCTCTCCATAGATCATCCAATAGGGCATGTAGAAAATGTTTCTGGCCAGGCGCCATGTTGGCTCCTCATCAGGGTGAAGGATAGCTTGCCTAGCCACCCCGAAGCTCATAAGGACCACCAGCATAATCACCACAAAGTACATCATGTCTATCATCTGAAAGACAAGGAACAAACCTCAACATAAAATCAAAGTAAACTTCTGTTCATTTTATTTCAGTTTGGCATGTGAGTTTCATAAGATTTCTGCAGCTCAGAGTGAAACAGTAATTGTGATTACCATCTTCCCTATCATCATCACATAGGGTCCCAGGTATTTGTTGACTCCAAAGATGTCCAGTACACGAATGTACCAGAAGATGATGTCTATACAGTAGATGACTCTCCCATAGCCCAAGTAAGGTTCATGCTGCAGCCGTAGCATCATCCCAAGAAGGAAGGTAATGATGGCGACCATGTCTGTGATGTTCCAGTATTCCTCCAGCCACACACTTATCTTTTGTTTCAACTTCCCCGGCTCTGACATCAGAATCTAGACACCAGGGTAAAAAGGGTGATTCAGAGCCCACCAATTATCCTCAACATACATTATTAGTTGAATAAGATCGTATTGATCATGTATAACGACTTCTACCTGTCTGACTTTTTCCGAGCCGAGTGTAAGGATGTATGAAATGACAGTCCACTCTTGTATGGAAGGCCATCGCTCCATTTTCACGAGGATTATATAGTTGTACAACATCAAATAGCCCAGATAGGAAATCTTTTGGATAAAGAAACCAGAATTGCATTGCACTTCAGTGACTACACTCCAAGATAAACGTCTGTATTAAATTGCTAATTATTACATGAAGGAAACTCACAGTGTTGAACCAGAACTTGGTGAATGGTGCATCATAAAACTCAAAGAACCTTTTGCCAATCGGGATTTTGCGAACATTAGTGCTACCCTCCTCCTCATCCCCCTTTCGGGAAGTCCCATCATTGGCATCCTGTGATGAAACAGCAGAATCTCAGTTAGGGCAAATTAGTTTTAATTTTGACAAATAAAGAATATAAACATAATTTGTAAAATCGAATAATAAGACAAGGTCAGTATGAACCCTGCTGGATTTTGTGTCGTCATCCTTGTCTTTTCCATCTTCTTTGTTTTCAGTTGCACTATAGGATGCATCATCTCCAATACGGAAATCCAGCAGGAGAATCAGAGGAGGACAGATGATCCCCAGAATAACCTAGGTGAGTAAATATAAATATTACACTTTGACACAGTGAGGTCGTTGGCCATTCTTAGCATTTTACAACTGTTGCCTAAAGGAAAACGTTTTTGATGTCAACCTTAAGGCCGGGATTTTTGCCGATCCTTAAGCAACCCATCCACATGTCAGTGAGCAACATCTGGCTGCAGGTGTGGGCGATGAAGTCACGTTGCTTAGCGGCCACAGCCAGCTTGAGACAGGTGGAGTTACTCCAGTTGACCAGCTCATAAGTCAAGAGTTTCATGGCCACCTGTTCATCATGTTTGTACGACTGGTCCAACAGCTCATACGCCAGCTGGCCAAATTCTCTGTGAAAGACGGGGAACAATAAAAAAATAACAATCTATGAATGACACAATAAAAATGAATCATCTATTAATTGTAGCACTTCTCAAAAGAGAGAATCATAAGGAGCTGCCTAAACAAAAACAAATGCAACAGAGGTATGAGAGGCAGATAGAGAAGTGAATGTAAATTAAGAAAATTACATATCAAAGATTATAGTATATTATTAAGTGAGCTGGTAAGAGTATTGGATAGTAAACCAGATTAAGGTTGCTTCAGAAGAGGTACGCATCGGTCTGCTTTTCTTTTGGAAAGTACCTTGTCACTTCACATTTGAAACCTGAGTAGGGTATGTTTTATGTACTGACTTGGAGTTGTTCTCCAGGTCTTGCGAGATGTCATCCACCAGTTCGCTCTCAGAGCACTCATGGGCCATAGCTTTATACAATTTACAGGCCACCAGGGCCTTCGCCATGGCTTCTTCTCCACGTTGCCATAGGAACAGCGCCATCTTCTGGCGCTTCATCAGCACAGCCCACAGCATCAGCTCGTGGAAGGGGTGTTTAAATCGACAGACCTCTGGGTCATCCACATCAATTTCCACCTCCTCCTCTTTCTTCTTTTTTGGCTTCTTCTTGCCTTTTTGCCTAGGTTCATCATCCTTTATAAAAAAAAAAAAAAAAAATGGTAGATTATTCTAATGTATGGATTGAATTGATTTGGCTGTTTGACAGTGTTTGGTTGTGCAAAGGTTCCCCTACCTCCATCCCTAGAAGCTTCAGAGCTTTTGGCTGCAAGAAAAAACAAAAACACAATATATCAAATGCTACTTAACATGATGAAAACGCTATGTCAATTACTTTCTTCCACCCAGTGCGTACCCTTTTAAGTCCGTACAAATTATTGTAGAGGTTGCGGAAAGCCTTCCTGGTGTAATTACTCCTGTAAGCTCCACCCATGAAGCACTCCAGCACCAGACCAATATCAATCAAAGTGATCTGATAATCTGGAGGAAGGTTTCCCTGCAAAATCACCAGAGCAAAATGTGACAGTATATTTCTGGTTATCTCAAACATAAAAAAAAAACATCGCTACAACATAGCTAGAACTGTCAAAAGCGTTGGACATTTTTGCATTAAAGATTATGTCACCTTTTTGATATCCCTCACTACTGCATTCAGGTTATTAGCAGGGCCAAGTTTCTGGAAGAGGAGAAGAGCATAGATGAAAGGAAGAAACAGGATGTTAGTTATGATTGTCAATCCTTTTTTCACTATATTTATTAGAGCTGTAATTGGAGGGAGTTGAGCCCACCGTGTTGTATAATTCCTCAATTCTGGGGATGGTGAGAAAGTGGTGGATGTTGACCCCATTCTCAAGGAGCAGCTTGACAAAATCCACCCTATCTAGCACCAGAGCATCCATCATAGCCTGTTCGAGAGAGTTTACCTAAGAGAAAGGAAAATGATTGTTTAAGCACCGAAGCTTTCATTATATTGGTGTTAATACACTGAAGTGGGAGTTTACTACATGAACTCTGGTCTTACCCAACGAATCAACTCCAATTTCCTGGGGTCTGTTTCCTCTGGAGGTTCAGGCTTTGCCTTTCCCTTCCCTTTCCCCTTCTTTCCCCGAGCTTTGCTTCGAGGAGCGCTGGCAGGACTCTTTTGCCTCTCTGCTGTGGCTGCAGCATTTGTAGTGTTGGCCATGGCACCGGCAGGCTTTCAAAGTCAATCAATCAATCAATCAATCAATTTTTATTTGTATAGCGTCAACTCATAACAAGTGTTATCTCGAGACACTTTACTCTTTGTCTTTTAACATTACAAAAGAGCAGGTAAAAAGACCTTACTTATTGTTATGTTACAAAAAGCAGCTAAAAGACCTTACTCATTGCTATATTACAAATATAGTAATAAGTTCCTACAAAGTAGGAACACGGTGAACAGATAAAGCCTTAGCTGCTGTTTTTAAGCATCAATCAGTATCCTGCTGCTAGTATTACATTATAGAGTGAATAATTGAATTTGTATCTCAAAATCCAAATGCATCTAAATCTTTTTGTACTTTTGCTGTATCTTGTAAACACATTTCCCTCTAGTTAAGTTTGAGACAAATAACCTCCTTTAATTAATTTAATTAATTAATCCTCAACCCTGATAGTTTTTTTCCCCTCTGGTATGCCCCAAAAAACATGTTGAATCTTAAAATTGCAAACAAACTCTTTCTAATCACTGCTGATGCCTGATGCAGGTCTACTATAAGTCAGACAGTGTGCAGGAATTTGTTTGCAGTTTTGTTGGATGTGTTACTCTCCTACACAACTGTATTTTAAAATAGATGTGCAGAGCATTTTTGTATTTCACAATTTGTAACATGTAATGGTAAACATTGTCATGTCAGATTCAAATACTGGACTATTACTGGGTATTATTTCAAAATGTTACGTTAGACTGTAAGTTTGATATTGAAGTTAACCACGTATCATGCTGTGATGAGTAAGTCTTATCGAAGGAGATATACATGAATAAAATATTCTGCACAGTCCAACAAGTAACAAAAAAAATCATATTTTAGGGGGGCCATAAGCAACTTATTCTAAACCATTTTTTATCAGTCTTCTCAAGTGAATCATTAAGGTATTCTGTTCAGATAAGAGTCCCACTCACTGGTAAATTGTGACCATAAACAAAGATGTGATTTCGAGCAATATCCACTCTATTCCAGGCCAGAGCCAAGCTGAGCTGGTCAGCTGCTGCAGCATTTGTGCCTGATGCAAAGTAATGGAAGGGCAGGGAGAGAGAGAGATAAAAAAAAAAAGAGAGAGTGAAGGTAGGTTGCATTGCAAGAATATACTGCTGTGATGTATTTGTACACACACTGTTTAGGAATCTAAGTCTGATGCATCCTTATGATACCTTTTAACAAGGCAGTAAGAATGGCCATCTCAATATCTTGTTGTCCCTCAGAACCCATTCGAAAAACTGTGATCTGTATGTGAGAGGAAAAAAAACAAAAGATAGAACGGCAGTCATGAAATAAAGTTCAACTGTAACAGTTGAATCCATTAATGGGTGAATGAATGAAGGGGTTCATTTGTGACAAAGTATAAACATGTATCAACCGATGGGAGCTTCTTTGCAGGACCTCTCGCTGCAGCACGTTGCGGCTGACCCCTTCGAGCACAACAGGCTAATTTACTTCTCAGACAGCGTAATAGTGCTTTCCTTGTTACAGACTGGACTATATCGAATGAAATTATGCTGACCAGCCCATCACATGTGCAGCCATGATAAATGGGATTAGGTTGGCATGAATATGTGGCACGAATCCAGAGCATTCAGAGCTGGCCTCGGGATGCGTTGATAATGAGTAGCCATGAAGACTGAAAACTTGTGCTGCTCTTTTAGACTGTTATACGCTGCATTGTGAGCTTTGTAAGACTGATATTGTGGTGAACTCCTACTTTAGTTAAAAAAATGTTATCCGGGTGTAACACCACAGCAAAGTCAGCCTCTAAATCAGTGTTTTTATTTGTCTAACCCAGCTGTTCACTTGACATGCACTTAGGATGAAAGGATTATGTGTGGACCAGACAGTGACACTGATTCACCTGTAGGTTAGTCATGGCACTTTAGCTTAAGAACAGGCAATAGTGTGGCCTCTCAGTTGTGTATAAAGAGCTTAAACAATTTGATGATTCTGTCACATTCTCGGGGTTAGGTTATCAGTGAAAACTAAATGGGATGGGGAAAAAAAGCCTGCAGCTGTATGCTCTTTAAAAAAGCAGTTTAAGTTGCTTATCTGGGTGTGTTGGGGCATTAGGCAGTCTAATACATCGGGGGATATATGAACCAGAGTCTCTAGTGAAGTGATAGCACTCTGGGGACTGAAAAAAAAAGGAAAAAAAAAGCTTGGCCAGTGGAGAGAGGGAGAGAGGAACCGGACGGAGGATTAGGGAGATGGATCCTCTCCTCCATCTGTGTGCTGCATGCTTACTGTGAAAGGATGGAATAAGAGCTTCTGCTAAGCAGGTGGTAGTGTGCACTGATCTTTCCCACCCAAATGCATGGAGTCTGGAGATTATATGCCCTGGGTATTACAAACTACTAATCACATCACTTATGTCGGCGGGAAAAAAGATGCAGCTGCAACAATCGCTGCCACTATTTATGTATCTCCAGCAATCACTCTCAGCTCAGGGATTAATCTGCTATCTGAGTCGAATCTTAAGAGGGTGTGGGTTTCATCGTGGATCTTATATTGTTTACATTGAAGTGAAGAGTTTAACGCCGCAGAATTAGACACCCACCACCCTTTCACAGCTGTGTGCGCTTACACATCAAGGTAGATGATGATGTCCGAGAGTGAAGCTGCAAATGCCTCAGATTAGATGACATACCACACATGACCATAGGAAGCAGGAGTAATGACTAGCACGTTGTGGGGATTATGTTTATTCAATATGTTAATGGAATGCACAGATGAGTGGAATGGATGAATGACAATGGAGACCAGATGCTTCACAACTCACAGTATTTATTGATTGACACAATCATCTTTAGATACAAGATAAATGTAAAAATAGTAATGAAATAATGGTAATATTTTTTTTTCATTTTGGGTGGTTTCATACGGATACTCACCAGTTCCCTTTTCTTCATACACTCCATAACCATTAGCAGGATCTGCTGAGATTGGCTTTTGCTATAATTAAAAGTCTTCTGTATAGTCACCAAAAGTTGCTCTCTGACGTCATCATTAACAAGTCTGGAACAGGAGATTAAAATGGGACAATTCAGCTTCTTATTACAAAACCAAAGTATCAGAGTACATCTAAAGGAGAAACTGTCTTTAATCTCACCCTCCGTCTTCTGAGAACTTGTGTGCAAACGAAATGATGTCAGAAGCCCGGCCGCTGCCGTCACACACCACCACAGGGATGGGTGGATCGTCCCTCAAACTCTCCAGACAATGGAGATTACATTGGGACCTCCTTCCACTATCAGGCACACCAGAGGAACCCCCTGACCCAAACCTGGAAGACAAAGTCAAACATTGCTTCTTGCGTCCACCTCTCTAGTGTTATCTTATAATACAAAGACAAGATGTGTGTTGATACTGATGTGATGCACGAACAGGCAAAAGCAGAAGACAGGGAGTGAAGTCAGTGGTGACAGCTGGGCATCCCTTTGCTGTCCCTGCCTTACTCGAGCCCCAGGCATAGGATGACAAAGGGAAGCCCATAGGTCACAGAGGAGCTCTCCATCCATGTGTCCAACAAGACTCAGGCTCACACTTAAACATCATGACGGATCGTATTATATTGTGTGTGAGGGGCGCTGTGGCTTACGTGTGTTGATCTTCTGAAGGGAGATGTGCTTCTCCAGCAGTCGACGGAGTTTGACCTCAGAGCCGTACTTTCCACAGGTGCCGTTGTCGGTCAGGATGAAGTGGGAGTGGCTGTTGTTGAGCACAGCTAGCTTGCTTAGTGGGTTCCCCATCGTTTGATAAGGTCTGGTCACCTGAAGAAAGGAGAAGCATGTTTTAAGAGGAATCATTGGTAAGAAAAATGTGTTTTTTGGGGAGTTGGAGAAAGACTTGGTAAAGCTGCAAAAGTTCTCACATCTTTTCCTATGAGATCCTCTTTGTTTTCCAAAATCCCCCACGGTGCGATTCCTATTGCGCACACCTTTCCGCGTGACTTGGAGGAATGGTCCTTTAAGGCATCTCCAACATGTCGGATCACCCCTATGGTGGGAAGAGAAAAACACAGCAACAGAAATGGTAAGTCGTTCAACTTCCTAAATGAGGCCGCATTTTTTTTGGACACACCATGGTTACTGCATGCTATCTCCACACAGATTGTCATTTGGGATGAATTTTGCCCCAAAAGCTCTAATTACAGTGCTTAAACCTGTGACAATGGGCTGGTCAAATCTCCCTCCAGGAAATTGCAGAACTGGTGTTATGTAATTTCAACTGAAAGGCGAGGTAATCTTCTAATGTCATAAAACAGTTTTTGGTTGAGTGAAAATTAAAAGCGTTGTTAGTGTCCTACCTGTGTTGACTCCGCCCGTGAAAATCCACGCTCCGGTGGTGACAGCAGCTTTTATCAGGCCTTTGCCAAACACTTGCTTGAGTTTGGGCTGAAGGTCAAAGTTCTGGAGACCACCGTGTACAGAGATGAGCAAAGTGGGCAGCTCCAACTGCCAGTCCTTCACCATCAGATGCAGGAGGTTGTCAGGCTTGGTGTCGTAAGTGACTCGAATATACTGGAAAGGAAAGAAGGGGAATAACAGAATTGTGTTGGCTGTAATTTCTTCATGCTGCAAACAGTGGTTGAGATATAAACAAGCTGTTGGAGGCCACATGACACCCACTCACTTCCTTCATGTTGTTGTAAACAGAGAAGTCATTATTCAGCGCCTGACACTCACCATGGCCTTGTTGATGAATCCTCCACCCTGGAACTCGATTATGCCAAAGGCGTCTGTTGGGTAGGTCCTGGTGTGCTTGACCACACTCCATTTGTCCTTTGGGGTGTCAATCTGCACCAATTGGTGCGATTCTTCGACTGAGTTGGCACCAGGAGGGATGGCCGCGTGCTGTGTGGTTAGCTGACCACAGGCACATCTAGATCGATCACAGAATAAGAATGACTTAATAAACATGTGCGTCCTGGGAACTGTGTAGTTGCATGGCCTTATCCCTGACTTCCAAACTTCAACATTGTGTGATACTGTAGCTCATTGAAATTTCAGACTAGTAAACTGTTGTAAGGGGGGATGAACCATGTTTGAAATGAATAGTGCAAGCCAAAGCTGTTGTTTAGTCTGCTCATGAAGACTGTGTCACACCGCATCCTTTCATGACTGTGCCTGTTTCTGGGAAATACGTGCCAAAATTAACAAAGTGCTGCACAGCCGGGCTTCTCTCAGCCTGTCGTTGGGAACTGGATGGTAACTATGCCTGACTTTACACTCTGAGAAATCTCCTGCAATTATAATTATGATTTATAATCTATCTTCAGGAACACATTCATTCAACATTGTACAGTAAGAGTACAATGTATTTGATGAGTTTAGAGTCACATTGTAGTAACATTTCAAAAGAAATAGTTGAAACTAGGCAACCTTAAACTTAAACTAAAAAACAATGACATATAAACTGTTATTTGATTAAAGTAATTACCTGGTTGGGTCCTTGCTGGGGAAGATGTGAACACATTCTCTTTTGTGAAAGTTCCTCTCAATCCAAGCTTTTTGAGCCTATGAAGAGAAAAAGAAAGAGAATCAAAGCGTTAGCTGACACAGTGTCATACTTTAGTCACAAGGAGATCATCTTTGCTGAATTTAGGTTTCACTATCTTGTCTGATAGAAGCTGCAAAAAAAAAAAAGAAGAAAACACAGTGAGAGGAAATGTGCTCAAAAGGAAAGTGTTTCTAAGGCGGCTGTGAAAAGCTGTGTTGAAAAGTGAAATCATTGTAGTTCTGGATGATTACATTTTAGTAATGCTGTGATTTAAGAATGAACATACAGGAAGAGAAGAATAAGACCCCTTGCATTGTCCAACTAAAGCTTCATAATCAAATCTAGCTCTGATTACTGTCTGGTGTTTTTCCAGTGCTGAGAAAAAGTGACCTGAGTTCAAAGCAAAGTTTCTCTGAGGGCCATTGTTGACGGCAACGGCCCAATTAAAAGTGAGGCTTTTGGAAGCAAATCTTTCCAAGAAAGCACTCAGCTGTGAAATTGAAAGAAAGTTTTTGATATTAAACAGCATCGACACCTTAAAATATAGACTTCTGTTTACTTCAAACATGAGTCTGAAGTCTCATAAGTAGAAAAGAAAAGACCTGAGATCAATGCAAGAGAGTTTTTGTCACAGTTATCATAATTTGCCCATAACACATTACAGTTCTCTCTTTCTTTCTTTTGTATCTGCACACAATGGCCTGAACCAGGCAGGAGGCTCAGCAGCAGGGGGACTGCAATATCTACACAAATGATCCCGGACTGTCTGATGTTTACTGAGTAAAAGGGAAAAGATTGTATTTAAATGTTCTTCAGAAATATTTAGATTATGTGCGTACTAATGTAAACAAAATCAGTTGACATTAATGTTTATACGACGCTCGTAACATCTATATTGTTTGAATCCAATTCTCTTCAGCCTGTCCATAAAACACAAGGCATGTACCTTTTAAAAATTTTATAAATACAAATATTTAGCAGAAATGTGAATTTATACATAATGCATATTATTAAGTCTCACCGCTTTTATTATTGCATCTTTGATTATTGTTGAAGCTAAATATATGAACTTTAAGACTTCTTTATTTCTAATGTAGACTTATTCTCCTTCTCCTCATATATATTTAAATCAAACCAGGGACTGTGTGCTGCTGCAATGACCTTATTTTTTCCTACCAGACTCATTAAAATATCATCTCATTTGCTTTAATAAATAACATTCTTATGATAATGACTTGTAAAGAAGATTAGAAATAAAAATTAAAAAAATGTCTATACTACATATATTAAAGATAACCTAACATTCCTTTTTAAAACTACAGCAGATCAGCATTTTCCTATTTAGAATTTAAATATGTTAAACAAGGTAGGTTGTTGCTAATGTTTTAACATTCTGTTAATTAAGTCCAAGACATATTGTTCTGTTTTCAGTCTATTTCTTGTTCTTCTTCTTTTCTCTGTCTTATTTCTCTGTGCTGTCAGTTTACAATCACTACATCTGAATTAACTTTCTAGTATCTATAATTAATCCTAAATCACTTCCCACTCTGTCAGAATAAATTGAATGTCAATTAAAGCCCTTAAATTCAGTTTTTAAGGCTTCACCCTCCCAGAATGGAGATAAACTTACAAACAATCTTCTCTCCGGGCTGCAGAGTCCTGTCTGAAATGCGGCTGTAGATTAAACCTAGAAAGCAAGAGATGTTGTCTCCAGCCTGCTGCTCCTCAACCAGACCTCTCTCCTGGTGCTGCTCTCCCGCTCGAGTGCTCTCATTGAATCCCACAGGACATGAAACTTCTTCACTTTATGAGGGCCCGTTAATATGATAAGCATGTGAGCAGGGCCTTTGTTCGCCCAAGTCTCATGACTCCAGTTCAAGGTAATCCTTTTGGGAGTCCCATGACTCCCTCTCCATGCCCACAGGGTATTTTCATCCTTCGCTTGAACAAGGCACAATAAATCTACTTTGATAAGCGGCCCCTAATCTCCCAATTTGTTGAAAACTCCTTTGTGTTCACTTCACAGTGTGGAAGATCTTAGCTTGTGTGAGAAGCCCGAGCATAGCTGCTAACCTTAAAGTAGACTGCAGACTTGATCAGAGGCTCCCCAACTTTTCATCCGAACATTTTCACCCCCTCCAACTACTTTGATTTCAACCCAATTTGCATAATTGAGAGAATTGGATGCAGGGCATTCTCTTGGAAGGTGCCTTGTTAAGACATGACTGGGCTCCAGTTGGGGGCAAGGTCAGTCAATGCTAATTGCAGTTAATCTCTATTTCCACTCAGCATGTTTTCATGAAGGAAAGAAAACTCAGCAGACCAGCAGTTTGGGATTCCTTTAGTCCTGCTTTTACAGTTTTGTCATGTTATAATGATAATTTGTATTTCTTGATTAAAAGTCTCTCTGCAGGCTAATATTTCAGCTTTATGCAAACTTTTTAAGCTGTAGGTGAAACAGATCATTTAGATATTAATGTTTCTTTTTGGATATGAAAGGTTCAATCTGATCTATTAAGATGCATTTATAATGAATGCTTTTGTTTTAAATGTTACACTTAGTTAAATAACTCATTTAAACAATTGAAAGTGATAAAGGGCTTTTAGGTGCATGCTTTAACGGCTTGATGAAGGAATTAGGTGCATGAGCCGGGAGCAGAGATGGAGTTAACAAGCACAAAGATGTAGACACATTTTTAAAACCTTCCCCATGTTGAAAGGATTTGATAAGCTCTCCTTTTATGGTTGAATTGAGCACTTTGAGGCTGACTGTAACTCACAGAAAAAGAGACAAGGGAGCTTGGTGGGTGATGACTCAGAAAGACAGAAAGAAAGAGAGGCTTTACACTCCCCCTCCCCCCCTCCCACTCCCCTCCCCCAAACTTCCCCCCTTTTTAGTCCTGCTACATTGAAGAGCGCACGTGGGTCGCTGTTAATTATAGCTGAAGAAAACAAAGTGCATTTCCAGAAGGGGTTTGGTGAGTTATGACGCAGTTATTTCACCGTACTTAAACTCATTAACCACAGCAATTAAAACCAAAATCCAGTAAGCAACCAGCTGCCTCATTAAGGGCTGCATTGGAGCACTTTAACAACAGAATCAGAAACACCTTTAAGAATTTGATACTAAGGGATCAGATTGGGTCACATTGAGCAACTTAACGAGATTTAAGACAAGCCCCAGAACAACACACAACATTCTTTCCTACGTGCAGAATTTGGGTCACTCTAAACAAAAGAAATAGTGTGTGGCGGAAATAACATTTGTTGCACTGCTGTAGAGGAAATAGAAGCATTTTCAACTCTCTACAATAATGCTTTTGCTCCAATTCTTGGATTTTTGAGTGACTCCAATACGAAGAACATTTTTCCATATTTTCCTCAAAGAACAAGCACTTCTATGACTTTTAAAATGTAGTATGAAGTTTTTTTGTAATTTCACTCCCCCCCCCTTGACCATTTATCATTCATTCTTTTATATACTGGCATCACATGGTCCTGGTCTCCTGACCCACAGCTTAGTAAGGTACATCACAGCACATTTGTTCCAGTGCTACACGTACACAGACTAATTCAGCTGCAGCACTCATAGGGAGAACGTGAAGATATCTGTATTTCTGTGCCTTGACACCTCACCTTTCAGTTTCTGTGCCTATTGGTTTACAGTGAGTCCTTTAATAACACAATGTTGAGTAAAACGGAGACATACATTTCTTCTAAATATTAGACTAACAAATGCACTCACTCAACAAAAGCCTCATCAGCACAAGTGAAATGGATCAGAAAGGATTTGGGGGTCCTAATGGAATGTGATGGACTGTGTTGTCACCAGCCTTGAAGATAAAAGCAACTAATTGCTCGGCTTTAGCGTTGAATGGCCAAGTGGTTAGAGTTTCATGCAATGTGACAGGAAGGAAAACCCATGTAGATTCCTCTACTGTCTGTTAAACTGACTCATGTTCGATTCCCACATGGACCCAATATAAAGCGTTCTCTGACACATGTCCACTTGAGGGATTTTTTTTTTTTAATTTTGGACAGAGCGACAAACTCGGGTTATAGTCCTGCCAAGGCAAATTTGCATTAACTGAGGAGCTAACTGTTTTCCTTCAGCCCTGTTTGTAAATGCTCTCATTGTGCTCCTGGGTTTGAAATCCATTTAGCCATCACGAGTCCAACATGTCACTGATTATCCCCAAGAGTTGAGGGAGTCATGAGACGGGTTTTAGCTGCTGTTTTTCTGAGTTTTCCCCTAAAGCAAAGGAAGAAAATCTTTTTTTTCTTTATAAATAAAAAAAGAGAGACTAAAGACAGTGCATGCAAAAACTAAAAATATATATGAAACTCTTTCTTGTTGAATCGGTAAAGAAGCGTTTCTCATTATGGAAACACATAACTTAATAAGTCTCGGGGCGTGGAAGCAGATCACTTAACACTTTAACAGGTTTTTACTGAAGAAAAATGCCCATGTTAGCGTTTTATGTCATTCATTTTTTATCCTGTATGTGCTACATGTCACTGAAGCACTGAATAAACCAATGTGATCTTTAGAGGCTACGATTGTGCGGCTTAAACAGAGAGTGCAAGTCAGAGGCAAATATCTCACTTTGTTTTGACATTTTCAGGGAGTGTAGAAGTTTGACATCTCCATAGCAAACCAAACTACATTTGTATTGATAAACCAAGAGGTCTTTCTCCTTTAACTTTTTCTTTTTGTCTTCATCCACAGGGGGTCTGCAGCTCAGCCCGTCGCCCTGCCGCCCCAAGACATTATTAATGCTGGATCCTGACCTGAGCCTTGAAGGTTTTTGCGGATTCTTGGCCTTTACCTGACCTGAGCCTGATGATCACACAGTCATAGGATCTTGTTAACCAAGAGAGACAATGGTATGATTCTGTAATCGTTCATTTGATGAGTTTAACGTTTTTTTTTAAAGAAACTACACATGTAATTTTTTTAAATAGGCTACACATTATCAGGCCATTTCTTTCCAACCTACTGAGCAGTAAACTGTGTATTCAGTGTAAAAGAAGTTAAACGTCAATGCTGGCAGCTTGTGTGCAGTGTGATCTGTATACAGAACACAGCAGATGTACATGAATTCTTTACTGAATTCATTTACGGCAACAAGGTAATGCCTCGTGAGCATATATTAAACTGAATGTGGTCTTTGTTAGAGTCTTACTTTCAGACCTTTACCCTCATATCCATCCCGACAGTATTCTAAGAAATGCTGCCTTGTGATTTACTAAACCATGGATGATAAATAAATCCTTCTCCATAAACCAATACGAATGATTATATGTATGCCATTTGATTAAAACTGATGAATCCACGATTGATTATAATAACATAGCAACAAAAAAAAAAAGCATGATCAGAAATAAAAAAACAGAGCCTGTTTGATCTCTCTGCAATCTGCTCTGTGCAGCCAATGAGGTTATATTTAGCAACACATCCTATCTCATTAAAAGTGTGGCGGTATGCAGCTGAGAGCGATGAACGTCGCAGATTGCTTCGGTGAGTAAAAGCTCATATGAAAAGGCTGTGGATTATACCAAGAATATTAATCTCGCTAAATAATGCGCGCTGTAATTTATAGAAATCCATCGCACTCAAGTATTTCAATGGCGTTACAGTCAGATATACTGTCGCTTCATACATCAGGAGTCAGGTGGATTAGAGCCACATTGTAGAAAAATTCCTCACTATGTGAAAAATGCCTTTTTACTGGAACATTTTGATGATTTTTGTAGATATATGATTTGTAAAGATGCCTTATATGACCCTATGTTTCAATTTTTAACTTCTATATGGATTTTGTGTGTTCATGTAACTCACATGAACCTACGAAGCAGCACAATCAGAGTAGTCACAGTGTTCTCTAATCCCAGCACACACTGCTCATTGGATCGAGAGCAGAGGCATGCACATAACATAAAAATTACATCTTTCTAGCTTTCAAGGACATGTAGTGGTCAGGAGTGTGATTAACAGGAGTGTGTTAATCACATGAAAGCTGACTTTGGAAACATATAAAAGTCCATAATCTGTCATGCCCGTGGTCGTCCATACTGGGCCATTACCAAGGATTAAACTGCCTCAGACATCACTTAACAGTAAGTTTACAGAGCTGAGTGTGAGTGCAGCCCATGTGCTCTACCAGCATACGTCCAGCAGCCATGAATGGTGGCATGTCATTATGCTGCACAAAGGGGCTCTGAAGTGATTGGACAGGAGCTAATGTGGACTCTGTCCAGCTCATGGTAATGGTTTCGTGTGACATGCTGGGCAACATAAATCAAAATGAACAAGCACATTGTATTTAAAATGTAAAAAAAAACAATGAAGAATTTAAAAATCAATAAGGTAAGGTGCAAGTGTCATTTCTTTTTAGAAAACTGTGTAAAATACCAAGCATTAACTTTCAAAGAAATGCCTCAAAAATTGTTCAAAAGAAACATTAAAGAATTATTTTTTACGACACGTGAAAACACTCAAGGTTATCCGACTCAATCACCTGTTGCATGCGACAAACGGCTTCATCTTACCTTCTGCGAGCCAGATGTGCTGCGTTTCAGGGAGGACCGTTTAAAGGTGCTGCTCGGGCCCTTGGGGTCCATGTTGAAGATTTTGAATTGAAGCCAAATTGACTTAGAAAAGGATCCTTCACGACTGGCAACAGGTCACGGTTTGACAGGAAAGTCAACATCAGAAACAAAACAGAAGCCTAAGATGCCCTCTGCATAACCACAGCATGATAACAACCTCAAGATACACACTTTAAAAAAAAAAGATAACCAAAGTTTCACATCATTAAAGATCTGACGCTTCTCTCTCCTCTCTGCAGCTTTCGCCCGACTGACAAGACTGAGATACACGCCAGGGATAAAAATCACTCGATGACACACTTGACACATAGACCCTTTTCCTCTGCCGGGCATCCCATAATCAGGCTTAATGCAGCCGGCTCTTATGAAGCCTCAGAGTCTAATGGATAGAGATTTAATAAATGGTTATTGAAGGTAAATCTACGCTGGCACACCACAGCCCCCAAAAAGGCTTAAAAGGTACCAAGCAAGCTGTGAAGCTAAAGTTAGCCGGCAGAAAGCCAAGGGTTGTCTGACCAGATGAGGCTCATTGTGTCTGACAGGAACGACAAGAGAATCCCATCAGGGTGAAAACAGAGAGGTATAGAGTGATGTAGAGGAAATATCCAGAGTGACACACAGTGAACTTGAAGCCAGATGTGTTAGAGAGAAACACCTGGAATATTCTGGGCAATGATTTCAAACTGCACACTTTCTACATGTATTGTTAAACAAGTTACCAGGGCCAGATAACCAGGGCCAGATTTAACAGTATAATATAATGCATGGTGGATTTTTTTTATTTTTATCTCTCATTAGGGAACATTTAGAATCTGGTTGAATTTTGCACAAAGTATTCTCACAACACAGATTGAGAGCAGCTTGAGGTTAAGTAAGGTTTAGAGTTTGGCCTGTTGTATAATTCCAACAAAAGTGATATCAAAATAAAACTGATAAAGAGCTTAATACCACATTGTATTTGACCTACCCCTTAGAGTCACTACAATCATTTTTTTAATAAACAAAATTAAGAATATAACAAATATTTGAATAGAAAACTTTAATAAAAGAAAACTACATTAAAAAACAGTAATAAATGAATTGTCACACTTATTCAGACTGATTGTCTGTCATTGTCTTTCCTCTTAGGTTGGACAAAAACGTGTGTCAAGGGCCTCAAATTCTAAGTTAAAGAGTTGAATATATGCACTTCCTCATCCAGGAGCTGATGTTTCATTGATAAAAGGATGACCTTTAAAAGTAGACTGTTATTCTTTCTAATCAAACTCAAAGAATCTAAACTAGAGGAAGAATAACACTCAACTAGTTTCATTTAGAAAAATAAACTGTATACAACAGCGCCCTCTGCTGGAGATCACTCTGCATGTTTACTAAATTAGTGCTGAAACGTTTTCCCTAAATTAAACTTGTCTACATCAGAGCACTCGCTCATTATTTTACATATAAATATTCCTTTTTTTTATTTCTCTATAAAAGCCAATTTTCTTTATAACGAAATGAGCTGATTTAACTCATAAACATCCAGATTGTGCTTTTATTTGCATTTGAGTAGCTTTAACAAAATTGTCTTTTTAAACTGTACTGTATTTTAATTCAGCAGTAAACCAGTTCATACCAGCTATTCAGTACAGGCACAGTGTTTAACGTTAACACTGAGTCATATATTTAAACCTCTGGCTCTTAATCATAGCTGCACATTTCTATTCAATGTCAGTATGTGTCAAAAATATGTATTCTTTACACATTCGTGGTTACAGCGAGGTTTATAAATATCAACAAATCCTCATTGAAGCTGTCAGAAAAATGTATCATATTTACTATTATAATAACCTACAGTATTAGATTTGAATGTTTCTTGTTCTATTGTCAACGTATAAAGTTAAAGCCTCACCTGTGTGATAAGTGGAGTCGGTTGGTTGATTTCTGTTGGTCATTATTTCAGACATGGCAGAAAATCTTTTCATCAAAGACATTTGAATGATTTACTTCCTCGTCTCTATTCTTCCTCGTCGCTATTCCAGCAAAGTGTCTCTGTGTTTGTCTGTCACTAAGAATGGATAATGCGTAAACTCTCACAGTAAGCAGACACAAATGAGCTTTATCATCTGCTGGTGGCTTTGTATGTGTCAGTGGGGGAGATTATTAGTCTTCAGTTGGAGGCAGTGCACAGAATGGTGAAGAAGCGATTTGTCGGTATTGATATAAAAGTGATCACTACATGTAGAATCATTAAAAAAAAACAATTGCACTACTGATAAAAAGTTTTAGAGGAACGGATACAACTGACATTTGAGCTTTGCAATATTAAACAAGTGTTTCACAAAAAGATAATGTACTATTGAAATAGACCAGAGGTAGCCAAACAACTATTTTTGTGTTAAAGATTATTTTCAGGGGGGGGTTCTGGTGGCCAAGTGGTTATTCCACATGTCCCATGCACAGAGGCTGTAGTCTTGAAGCAAGCGGCATTATATGTCATTATGTCATTATAATTTCCAACTCTATCCACTGTCATGACTTTCCAATAAAGACATAAAAAGGCCCCCCAAAAAAGATTATTTTCAGGAGGTTTTTTAAAATCTTCTCGTGTAAACTAAGATGTCATTTTTTGAGGGGGGGTTACTTTCTATATCTGTGATGTCACTGCAAGAAAATGACTGAAAAGTTCACAGTAATATGTGGATGCAATAGTCCAGAGACTTACTGCTTAATTCACATAATACCATTATGCACAATTGTACTTAATTCATATTTTATTAACATGTTTGGATTCACAAGAGGATTCTAAAAAAAAAAAGTATGTCTGGAGAGAAATTATTCCTAATGTAGGAATGCAGAGCCCAATAAACAAATTAAGTAGATATGATCTTATCTGACTTCAAGTCGTCTTTCTTTCTTTTTAAGTAGATTATAGAGAGTTAACTCTGCTGCTCACACTGACACCAGATAATGTTTTACAGAGATCACTGTTTATACACAACTTGTACCACAGGGGATGCCATGAGGTACAGAATACAAATAGGACTTTCAACTTGCAGCTTTATTGTCCAAAAGGCGAAATTTACTTGAGAGCCAGGTAAAACCGTAAAACATAGAGACACATAGACTCCATTTCAAAAGACATTAGAACACATAAATACAATATGTGAAGGTAAAACCGTCTTTTAAAAAAAAAAACAATCTTCAGACATCTGCCATGAAGGATAAAATACCTCAAACTTGGTCACAGTTAAAATGTAGTTGTGCGATGGCTTGAGTGGTCCAATTATTTCTCATCCTGGTGGATTTGGCCTTAGGCAATCTGAATCTCCGGCTGGAGGGTATGAAACTGGAATTCACCAGAGAGGATGCTGAGGACTCTGTAAAATGTCTCTCGCCTGAGATAATGAAAGCTTTGAGAAAAATCAGGTAATTGAATGCCAATGATTTTACTGGCAACCTTAACAATGTGTTCCAAATGCTTTCTACCCTAATGAAGGGATGTTGAAAAAAAAAAAGTGTTTTCCCAGGTAGAAAGCTACATTTGCAGTAAATCCAACATGCCACAAACTCATCATTGAACAGTTCTTGGTTTGGGAGCCAGAAATATATCCTTTGCGGCAAGGATCATTTTCAAGTTAATAATAAAACGGTTAATTTAAATCAACATCAAGTTTTTTGGGTCAAAATAATTGTGGGGTTTTTGTGTAATTTAAATGCTACCTCTGTTAGGAAAACTTCTCAAAGCAATGTATCAGCTTTCAGTACATTGTGTACTACAAACTGCTTGAGGGCACAGGTGTTCTCAACGCAGAGTTGAGAGTTTCCGATGTCTGCCACAAGAGGGCGCTCCTGACCACAGGCTCACACAGCGATTCTCACAGTTTGAGCCTCTATTCTGTCAGGTTTACTCAGAGGTTATGTGTCTGTCATGTCCGTCAGTACAGCCATGACATTGAGCAGTGATGGAACACGCCAAAGCCTAACCGAAAAACGTGCTCTTGTTCCCTTTACTTCACATTTAATTGGAGACTCCTGCTTTGCATCAAGCTCAATTTACCCTCAGTTGTTTTTTGCCTGATAATTTGTAAATGTCTGGTGAAGCTAATATTGTCACTTAAGCCAGATGGGAGAAAGCCAACAGCTGGAAAGCAGGTTAGGGTGAAACGACTTCCACATGTGGGGACCATGGAAGGAGATAACATTCGAGGAAGAAGATGTGTTTCACTGTGAACACTCAGCTGTGCTGTTTGAGAACTTCTTTGTTAGATGGTTAAAGGCAACACCCCTGGCAAGGGAACCCAAACATTTAAACATTCAGAGCTTGAGTACTGCAGGTTAAAAAAACAAAACACCAAAACAAAGTCAGCCAATGTCTTCTTTTATTTGTGTGTGCTCTGGCCTTTATGAAGGTGATCAGCAGTGCCCGACAGTAAGGAAACAATAAAGGTGTGTGTGTTTTTAACTGCCAGTGTTTCCCCTGGGGGAGAGAGGCCACACTCTCACCTGAGACACGAGTGCTTCAGGTGGTTTCAGTCCCTCAGTGGGAAAACACACTTGCATAGATAATAACCTGTATACAGTTGGGAAAAAAAAAGCTGGAAAAATACACAGCTCATTACTCATGCAGAGGGAGTGAACATCACACAAGATGACATGTGAGTCTTGACATTTCATCTCTTAACAAAGTGCCTGAAGTTAAGGGCAGGAAATGGTCTTTAGTGGTTTGTTATGAGTGGGTCATGTTAGGACACGTTCCCTGTGCATGTCCATGGCAGCACCTTCAGCCTCCCACATAATAACAACTTATGAGGCGTGACACTGTAAAAACTTGATTTGTAGCTTCTTATCTTTTTATTTCTTTGCATCTTTTTTTTTTAAATGTTCTTTTTCTAAATTGTTTCCTGCCACATTCAGCTTCACCTGCTGTTGTGGAAAGTTACTAAGGACATTTACTTACTACACCATCATTTACAAAGCTGAAAAAACAAACAAATGCACCCTTATGTATAATAACATTCAGAAACATTTAA